CAGATAGATAGATAGATAGATAGATAGATAGATAGATAGATAGATAGATAGATAGATAGATAGATAGATAGATAGATAGATAGATAGATAGATAGATAGATAGAGTCAGATTATAGACAGACAGATAGATAAATAGATAGATGAACAAATGAACAAATTAATATTTGGATAAATGAACAGATAGAAAAACAAACTGATAGATAAACAGAGAAAGTTAGATAAAGAATGGACAGATAGATAGATAAATTACACTGATATATAGATAAATGAGCAGATCGATAAAACAAGATAAATAGATAAACAAACAGATAGATGGAAAGATATATTGACAGGTGTAGATAGATAAATAAACAAATAGACAAACAAACAAATTAATACATAGAAAAACAGATAGACAGAAAAGCAAATGGGCAGATAAACAGACACCAATAAACAGATAGATGGGTGTAACATAAATGAGGAAATAAACAAACTGATATATAGATAAATGAACAGATACACAAAAACCAACAGATGGACAGAAAGATAAAAAGATAAACAGATAGACAGGTGAGTAGACTGATAAATAAACAAACATATAAACAAGTAGACAGACAGACAAACATATTGTTAGTAAATAGTCTTTTTTCTTAAATATTTATTTCTTTTCCCATATTTAACACATTTGTGCTGCTCCGTCTCCTCCAGGAGTTTCGTTTGTTTGTTTTTGGGGTTTGAGTGTAGAAAAGCATCAGCGTCAGAACTTTAAGCGTCGTTTTCTCTATACACACAAATATTCTGGCCGGAGCTCTTTTTGCTCGTCTTTCCCTTCCAGCTTATGAAGGAAACATCATAACAATACGTCCACGAGTTCTTCAGTATGCATTACTCTTTCTTTCCCTTCAGACAACAAATAACAAACTCTGAGCAAATTTGCGTCTGGAACCGCAGTGTTATTGGATAAATATGTCATTGTCTCTGTGACTCGGGAATGGAGATGGACGTGCTGCGCTGCACTGCGGGAACGGGCCTCCTCTGAGGCATGAATAATTCAACATAACGAGTTTAAAGAATTTATAAAATGGAGGGGTGTGTTTATTTAAGGAAGTGGAGTTTAAAATGGCTGTTCAGGTGAACGACTGATGAATTATGCGCATGAAGCTGAGTTTATGAATCATCTTGTGTTGTCGTTTTGTAACAATGACGGATTGTACAATTATTGTCGCTGCATCATCAATGATAACGTCGTTTATGTGACTGAAAATGAATTGATATTTGATTTACTTTTAAACATTAAAAGCATTAGTGCTATCCAATTGCAGGTGTTATCTTGACATAAACAGATTATTTATTTCATATATAATATTTTATAATTATAAAATAATAATTATACATTTAATTATAAAATAGCTAATATATTTAATGAAATATATTTTGTCCAATGAATGCAGTGGATTGATATTTTGTGTACAATCATGTCAAATTTTTATTAGAACTTAAATATACGTTTACTGGCCTGGAACGTATATTGCAAATAATTGTGTTTATATATTTTAATCTTATATTGTTACATAAACAATTGAAAGCTTATTTTATACTCTCAGATAATAGATTTACCAATTATTTATTTACTATGCAATACATTATTTAAATTATACATTGAAAACAGCATCATATAGGAAGTTTCTTAAAAGGGAAATGCATATATATATATATATATATATAGAGCATGATTTCCAGGATGAAACATATATAATAATTTTATTTTATTATTTATTTCATTTTTTATTATAGATTTTATTTATCAGGAACTGATTGGATTATGAAATGTGAAAGTTGGAAGGGAGGGACTTGGTGATGTCACAGGAAAAGGAAAATTGTTTCAGCAATTAATACAATTTTGATGAAAAAGACATTGTTTTTTAAAAAAACAATTCCTGTGTAGAACGGAGTATGAAAATGATCTCAGATCTCACCTTTTTGTATAGCGACTGACTCTGGATCAGCATAAACAACTTCTGAAGGCCTCCCTGGGGAGGCAGAGATGTTGTACGACTGAATGTAGGTCAGTGTTTGCAGCATTTATAATGCCTCAGCAAGCTTTCTGTGTTATCTGAGAGACGGCAACTAAAACAAGACCCTAATTAGACTTGCCCTTCTTCATTTCCTCCCTCTTTCTGTCTCTATTTATATTCTTCAGCTCCGGTCATGGCACCAGCGGTTACATTCCCCCTCTCTCTTCTATCCTTCAGAGAAACATAACATAATTTGTTATGCGTAAATAAAACATAATTTGTTATGAGTAAACAGAACAAATGCTCTTTGGCGTGTGAATATTAGATTCCAGCTTTCAGTAAAATGCTTGTAAGAATTGGGAAATAGAGCTAAATGCTGGAGGCCTCTATATTTATCTTGAATTCTTTATTTTAC